ATAGATATAGCTGAAGAAATATCCCGTATATACAGTATTAATAGACCAATGGAAAAATTGTCTAATGAGAAACTAGAGAAGCATAGTTTAGCTGAAAACTGCTACTTGTGTAAAAATAAATTTACTATGGATGATAAGAAAGTTATGGATCATTGTCATATAAGTGGTGAATACAGAGGAGCGGCACATAACAGCTGTAATTTAAAGTGTAAAACTCCTAACTACATTCCTGTATTAATTCATAATTTAAGCGGGTACGATTCACATTTTATAGTTAAACAGTTAGGTTGTAGTTATGAGAGAGTTGAAGTCATTCCTAGTTCCGAAGAATGTTATATATCGTTTAGTAAATATGTCGGTGCTGTGAAACTAAGATTTATCGATTCTTTTCGTTTTATGCCTGCAAGCCTGGAAAACTTAGTTTCAAATCTACCAGAACTACCTGAAACACGTAAATATTTTGGAGAAAATAACAGCAAATTGTTATCGAGAAAAGGTGTATTCCCGTACGATTATGTCGATTGCTGGGAAAAATTGGAAGAGAAAGAGTTGCCGAAGAAGGATCATTTTTATAACAAGCTGAATGAGCTGGATATTAGTGACGATGATTACGAATATGCTCGAAAAGTATGGGAGCACTTTAACATCAAAAACCTTGGAGAATATAGCGACCTATACCTAGTAACTGATGTCCTCCTTCTTGCTGACGTATTTGAGGCGTTGCGTGATAGCACAATTGAAAGCCATTCCGTCGATCCTGCACATTACTTTACTATTCCTGGGTTAACATGGGACGCTATGTTAAAATTTACTGGTATTGAACTTGAATTGTTACTAGACTATGAACAACTTCTGATGGTTGAGTCCGGTATTCGAGGAGGAATTTGTCAAGTGTCGCACAGACACGCAGAAGCAAACAACAAGTACTTGGAAGGGTATGATACAAGTAAACCTTCGCAGTATATCACGTACGAGGATGCTAACAACCAGTATGGGTGGGCGATGAGCCACTACCTTCCGTATGGTGGTTTCAAGTGGGTTCCACCTGACTCTATTAACTTAGATGAAATGAGGGAAGATGATCCGATTGGCTATATTTTGGAAGTTGACGTCGAATATCCTGATGAACTTCATGACCTACACAATGATTTTCCTTTCCTACCTGAGACCAGAACCCCTCCTGATTCATCTTTCAAAAAACTAATACCCCACTTAGGTGCTCGAAAATATTACGTTGTGCATTATATGGCTTTGAAACAGGCCCTCGATCACGGGTTAAAATTAACTAAAATACATAGGGTTTTAAAATTTAATCAGTCACCATGGTTGAAAAGTTATGTGGAATTTAATAACCATCTACGGACAAAAGCTAAAAATGATTTTGAAAAAGATTTATTTAAATTATTTAATAATGCAATGTTCGGTAAAACTATGGAGAGTGTTCGAAAAAGAATGGATTTACGCCTAGTTACAAATTGGAAACAAATGGAAAAGTTAATGGCTAAACCAACATTCCTTGATCGAACTATTTATGGGGAGAATTTAGTCGCAGTACATTTAGCTAAAAGAAAAATTCTTTTTGATAAACCGATATACATAGGGATGTGTATATTAGACATATCTAAAACTTTGATGTACAGGTATCATTATGATGTACTTTTACCTCATTATGGGCCAGAAAAAATAAAACTAATGTATACCGACACTGATTCATTCATTCATTTAATTCAAACCGATGATATATACAGGGATAAATTAAATTTCATGGAATATCTTGACACATCAGAATATCCTAGCGACCATCCATGCTACTCTAATATAAATAAAAAGGTTCTTGGGAAATTCAAAGATGAGGCTATTATAGCATTTGCAGGTTTACGTGCAAAGATGTATTCAATTAAAATATCTGAAAAAGAAGTAATTAAAAAAGCTAAGGGGGTTAAAAAATGCTCGTTAAGAAAGCATATAGAATTTAAAGATTATGTGGACTGTATTAATTCAGGGAATCCTAGAATATTACCCATGAACTTAATCATGTCAAAAGATCACAATGTATGTACGTATAAAGTTAATAAGCTCTCTTTATCCCCATTTGATGATAAAAGGTATGTCCTAGATGATGGGGTTAATACTTTAGCTCATGGTCATAGAAAGATTTTGCAAATAAAACGGAGTGCGTAAATACTTTAATGCTTAAAACATATTACTATTAATTTGTGTTCATTATGATTT